CCCCCCCCCCTCCCCCCCCTTCCCGGCACTCCACCCTAGCCCTAGTCTCAACCTTTTCAGTTGCGGGTCCTGTGCTTCTTTGACATCGCTCTGTTTTCCCGGTTCGGAGTTTGGGGTGCCACAGCAAAACCCCGTGTAAAGCTTCAGCCACGGGTTACGCTTTAATGTGTAGTGGCCTAGGCCTAAATAATAGTTACTATTACTATTTTGGGAGGTTCCTTCTTGTAATTATAGTATAGTGGGCCCGAAAACTTTATTCTAATTATTAAGGCCCCTACATCAGGGTTTAGGTTTAGATCCACGACCTTTCCGCCCGAGCCTCATGCCCACACACGACTGGACATTTGGTCTTCCAACCAGGGCCTTAAACTTTATATCCTAAACACTCCTAAGCTCTACCTGTACCCCAAAAGGCAAGCATAAAGAGGAACCCCTATCCTAAACCCTACACCCGAACTAAACAAACCCCAAACCCCCTAAACCCTAAACCCTAGAAGCCCCAACCCCCAAACCCCAAACTCGAAACCCTACAATTAAAAACCCCAAACCCCAAACCCGGAAAAATGTAGGTTTCTTGGGGCCCAGCTAAGCCCCGAACTCCCCCACCCGAAGCCTTCACCAACCTTCCACCACCGCAGGGACGGCGAGCTAGTCTCTCGAACCAAGATGAAGAAGCCTGCTGTTTGTAGGGTTTATGCCATGTAGGACTCAGGGATTTTAATAGAGTTGGGTTTGGGCTTATGGTGTTTAGGGTTTCGGGTTGGATGTGCGTCTCAGGTTTAGGGCGGGGGTTTAATAAGGTTCAAGACCGCTGGTTGCTTGGGGGTTCATGGTGCTAGTCCCGGCTCTACCGTTCCAAACCCTGAGCCCTAGACCCTAAGACCCTAAACCCTTAAACCCTAGACCCTCAAACCCTAACCCTAAACCCTAAACCCTAAACCCTAAACCCTAAACCCTAAACCCTGAACCCTGAACCCCTGAACCCTAGACCCGCAAACCCTGAACCCTCAACTTCCGGTTAATGGCATACATGGCTTAGGGTGCCGAGTTTCGTCGTAAATGCACCGAGGGAGGCTCACTGAACCCAACAGAGAACTGGTGAGGATTGAGGTGAAGGATAGGGGTTGTATTAGGGTAGTTCCCTAAATTAAGGTCCCCTTTTAGGTCCCCAACATACTACGGCACCCTTTAAAGGGGACTCGAAAAGGGACCCTAATTTAGAGAAATAAGCCCTAAACCCTAAACCGTAAAGGAACTAACCCATTGGGTTCCCTAAACCCTAAACCCTAAACCCTAAACCCTAAACCGTAAAGGAACTAACCCATTGGGTTCTTTAGTTTTCGCCAGATGTTTCTAGGATCTTGATTGGGCTTAGGGCTTAGGGCTTAGGGTTTAGGGTTTAGGGTTTAGGGTTTAGGGTTTAGGGTTTAGGGTTTAGGGTTTAGGCTTCCATGTGGACTTCTCACGGTTTTGACGGGGTTCGACCTCCTTTAACATCAAGCCTGAGCCCTGTAGATGTCGGGTTTTAGGGTTTAGGGTTTTAGGGTACCCTAAACCCTAAACCCTAAACCCTAAACCCTAAACCCTAGGGCTCAGAAACTAGGGTTTAGGGTATAGAGACTCTGCCATTTTGGGTACAGGGCCTCCTTCCGCTAGACCTTCGAGATGGACTTGCCTCTCGAAGTTTCCTCACGAAGCCTCTCCAAGAGGTCTTCGAGCTAATGCTGCTAGGGGTTTCCGAAAAGAGGGGACCCTGCTATGGTACCCTAAATAGTAGGATCCTTATTATAAGGACACCAAAATGAGGTACCCCTTGTTTTCGGAAACTCCTATATGGGATCCTGGTAGCAGGCTTTTCTTCAAACAATCCCGCAGCTTAATCCTTAGGAAACCCTAAACCCTCAACCCTACTATGGCTTAGGGTCTAGAGTGGTCCAAAATTTAGGGCTACACCCCAAACCCTAAACCCCTAAACTCCCAGGAACCCTAAACCCTAAACCCTAAACCCCAAACCAAACCGTAAAGCCCTAAACTCCCAGGATCGGCTTTGTTATCGATTTCTGCTCAAGGCAGATCTCGAGGTCTCCAAATGGGGGGTTGTTGAAATCGGGCTCTGTCGATCCAAGGCAAGCGCACCCAGACCTTCCGAAGATCCTTAATTGGGGTTTAGGGCTTATTTAGGGTTTAGGGTTTAGGTGGAATGTACCCTACCTAAAGGGTCATACCCTACCCCATGTTTTAAGATGCCCAGCTTTAGGGTCAGGATCTGCTATATAAACAAGTAGGTACCCTAAAGAATGACCCTACAGTTAC